AAAAACGCTCCTTATGCCTCTTCACACGCAGTGGAATTCAGTCCTACACAAAATTTAACAACGCAAAATATATGCGGCACATTTGGAGTTATGGACAGGGGGTTGCATTCTTAATGGACATAAAAGCGAGCAACAAAAGGAACGTGTAAAGGGAAAAAAATACAAAAACAGAAACACAAATAAAAATAAAAAGCAACACGAAGGAACGGCAGTAGACGAAGCTTTGAGCAACGCAAAGAGGACAGCATAAGAATACGATAAGCGAAGAAAGCACCCCCTACACACACACATACACACCCCTGTAGAATTAAAACAGAAATGTATAGCACTGCCTGATCTCAGCCCATCAACCACAGACAACACAGAAAGGAAAAAAAAAAAAGTTTTTTTTTTTCACATTCTTCGCAGTTTGTCAAACCCAACCATTAGCACCCTTTTTTTTTTTTTTTTTTTTTTTTTTTGCTAATTCATATGAGTAGCATGACGAAAAATAGACTTCTAATAGAATCTCGGGAAGCCAGAAAACAGAATGACCCAGACATAACACTCACTCACAGGTACATACAATTGATAGGCACAAGTATGGGGGAGAGAAAAACCCTTTTCTGTGTTTTGTTTTTTTTGCCCCATTTTGCCCCCATTCCGCCCCCTTTCTTTTCAGTGATTACAATCTGTACGAGTGGCAAGCAGTCATACGGGGCCCAAAGGACTCCCCCTACGAGGTAGAGGCGAACCTGCTCAGCAGATTTTTTACTCAGCAGAGGCTGCTCCTTGTCGCTGTGCAGATTATGCGAGTGTATATATACATTTATGTGCATATATTTCTGCACAAACGTGGCACTTAAAATTTTGTTCGCCTCTTTTCCCCGCAGGGCGGCAAGTGGAAGCTGAACATAAAGTGCAAGAGCACGTACCCGATAGACCCCCCCGTGATAACTTTCGTCACGAAATTTTTTCATCCCAACGTGAATTTCGTAACAGGTACGCCGGTGCGCACTCTGCGGTTGGCAGGGCGCCTGAAGTAGCTGCATCAGTTTCCCTTGTCAGAGTAAACACTGTTATAGCATCACCCAGTGCACACATCTCACACATTTTTCTGGTATATATATATTTTTTTTTTTTGTACCATTCCCAAAGGCGAACTGTGCATGGATATTTTGAAGGCCAACTGGAGCCCGGCATGGACCATTCAGTCTCTGTGTCGAGCGATTCTTTTTTTGTTCACCGAGCCTAATGCGGAGAGTCCTCTGAATTGCGACGCAGGTTGGTGCTATTTCGCGTGCGCATGAGAGGATGCGCCGAAAAAGACCTCCATTCAGGACTTCTCTTTCAAACCTGAATGGTTATGCGGTTGTCGTTTTTTCAGCTGCCGTGATTGCTCCTGCACGTGCGGCCAGCCCTTCACAACGCTCACCTTGTTGAGCTAAAAGTGTGTACAAAAAAATAAAATAAAGAACGCTTTTATCGCTCTACAGGCAATCTGCTGCGATCTGGGGATGTGAAGGGATTTCAATCGATGGCCAAAATGTACACGCACGAATTCGCTATGGACAATGACTGATCTGATGGGTGCGCACATTTGGTATGGAAGGGATGAACTTGTTGAAGGTTCACCCAGTTTTTTTTTTTTTTTTTGTTTAAAAACTACCCGTTTGGCATATACCCACATGGAAGGTGCTTATCGAAAGGGGCGGCAGTCCACATTGCAGACATCCGCACGCGTATGATTTTTCCCCCGTTGCATTTTTGGTAACCCAAGAAAGGTTCTGCAATGAGGCCACTTGACTAAGTCATCTTGCCAACGGCTAAACACTCACCCCCCATATGATGTGTACATACATGTATATATGTGTTTATGTGTACGCATTTTTTTTTTTGTAATTATTTTAAGGGCGTTTCTGCGTGCATAATACTCTTCCCCCCGCCCTTCGCTCTACTCTTTATGCACATCTTCCTCTTTTCTGTTCAATGTGTTTCCCTTTATTTGTGCATGTGCGTGTGTGCATTATATTACCCTGCTCTCATTGTCATTTGGAAACACGTCTTAAAAAAGGAACCCAATTTGAACATGTCTAAGTTGCCTCGTATGTGATGTCCATTTGCTGAGGAGCAGGCTTTTATACCTGCAAGTGGTTGGCATGGACTCTCCATTTACATGTACATGGGGATGTCATCGAACCGTCGAGCTTACTACATGAAGGAAAATGTTAATTCTTTAAGTGTAGCGAAGCGGATGTAACGCTACACATATTATACAGTTTTTAGACTGTCCAAAAAGAAAAAAAAAAAAAAAAAAAAAAAAAAAAAAAGGTTAATTGGGAGGGGAAAAAAAAAAAAAAAAAAAAAAAAAAAAAAAAAAATGACATCCTGGCTTGATGTGTAGGAAAAGGGGTTGCTGGAGTGAAGGCAACACGTTTAATTGTCTTGCCTGTTTTCTCCCCTTCACGGAACACGAGACACAAATGCCACGTCGCAGCGATGTGGTCTCCTGCGTGGTGATGTACCCCTCCTGTTAGGACATTTTTATATCACCACAAAGGGGGGAACACACATGATAGTGAGGCGATTTGCAAACTTTTACGCGTCACAAATTTGCTCATACCCATGTGTGTATACCCAACTTGTCATTTTAACTGATGCACATATATAAGAGGGCGGGAGTGGAACAAACTTTGGGGTGCCCATGTCCAACGGGTGACATTCTCCTTTCTTGCCTCCCCATGGTCAGGTTAACACGTACCCCCAAGTGCATAATTTCCCCCCATTTAAGAGTTTCCCCCATTTTTTTTATTTTTATTTTGCTTGAACTTGGCCTGATGAGTAAAAACCCACCCCCATGCCGGCTACCTCCTACCGTCTGTATCTGTCTCTGTAGGCCATTTCACGCCTTTGCCTCTCCTTTAAGCGCTGCCTCATTTCCATTTTCTCCGATTCTTTGACCCACCAGGGTTTGTTGCTGCTGGACCTTTTTCGCCTTCGTGTGGGGGAATGAGAGGAGTTGCTATGGCTGACGGAAGAGCTGTGGTACCTTTTCCTCATTTTTCTAATTTTGCTTTCCCTCTCACGATAACTGCTTCTTTTATGTGATTCATATGAACTTAAAGAATCATTACTCCTGGTGCGATGTGAGCTCCTGGAACGGCTATCATATTTTTTCCTTTTACGAGTAGACGTGCTGTGTTTTCTATGGCTATGTTTTCGCCTGGAATCTGTTTTGCTTCCATGTCTCCTGTAGCTGCTCCTGCTGCTGGATGAGGAATAGGAGCTGCTTCGAGAGGAGGATGACGATTCGCTGCTGCTGTATTTCCCACTCCGGGATTTTTTCCCCTTCCGTACTTTGTTTTGTGTTTCATCCTCGTCATTTGTGTCTCTTTCTACATCTTTGTCCTCCTCTCCCTCCTCGGCATTCTCTCCTTCCAATGTACCCTTTTTCTTCCTGTCTGCCTTTTGCTTGTCCTCGCTCAAGTTTGTCTCACCGGTTCGAATGATCGATCCGTTGTTACTTTCCCCTACCGCTTTTGCTTGATCGATGTGGGGTGCAGCGCCGGGGATGAGGGCGCAAGTGGCTCCCTGAGTTACCCCAACCGCCATTCCTGCCATTCCTGCCGCGACTCCCGCGAGCCCCTCTGCGGGTAGGCCCATCACCTGGGGATTAACCTGGCCAAGGTTATTCACAATGACGGCGCTTGAATTATACATGGCAATAAGTTTTTGACTCAATTTATCCCTCAAGGCGAGGACCTTTTCCACCTTTTCATTAACCACGAGTGGTTTTTTCGCAGGGGGAGGATCACTCACCTCACCTTTGTTGCTAGTCACATTTGTGCTGTTACTATAAAGAGGGAAATTATTTTTCAAATGACCTCTTTCGTTAATTAAGCTGAATGCATCTCTTATAATTATGTCGTTCGCTCCTATTTTGGTTCCGTTCAAATGTAATGCAGCCTTTGCATGTTCTTCGTTAGCAAATTCAACAAACGCCGTGTGTACTTTTTTCTGTTCATTGTATTGGAGCTTGTAGCTGGTAGTAGTCCCCACGTTCTTGAACAGGGCCTTTATATCATCTTCGCTACACTGCACGAAGGGCAAAAAAAAAAAAAAGAACAAGATACGAGTAAAATGATGCATCCGATCATTATATAGGAGGGCAGTTTACCTCCCTCCAACTATCCCTAATGAAATGGATCCACATAGAATAATACAACACGCATGCTTACATGTTCAGGCACATTTTCCATGTAAATAATTTTGGAGAAGACATCAAATTTGTTATTCTTTTCGTTCAGCGTGTTTTGGAAGTCCACGAGTCCCTTGTTCTGCTCCGATAGGAGTTGCTGCTGGAGAAGGATATTCTGCAGGGCCTGTGCGGTGGAAGGGGTACGAGCGGTTAGAAATGTTGAAGCGGTTCAAAGTGACGCAGCAGTGGGGGGCACGTCGCGTGGAGGAACGCATGAACGCCAAATGCACTTGCTGCGCTGTTCACCCATTTTACGCCTTACCTGATATTGCACGCTCTGCGCGGCAGCACTGTTAACGAGGGCGCCGGTTCGTACGTCTATGGAGGTGGCTAAATTTTTATCCGTCTCATTGTTACCGATAGCTGGATCGGCAAAAGGTGTGTTGTGTGAAATGGGCTCTATCACAGTTACCACCATGGGGACGTTCAGCAGCAGCTCGCCATTGAGGCGAGATGCTTTTGTTATTCCCTCTGAGCTCTTGAACTCGATTTGACAATACTTTTGGTTCTTCCCAGGGAAGCTGCAAAATGGAAAAACGGTGGGGGAAAAAAACACGAATGAGACAACCGTTGCATAAGCGGAAGAAGTATGCTCTCCGTTATCACTTTTTCTAGAGACACGCAGACACTGTGTGTGCGCATCCCCTTCCAATGCGTAATAATTGAACGGGGCGAACGAATACACGTGTCCACATAAATGCAGGCATGTGGACCTACAAAGCGCAATTATTAGCACATGAAAAACAGACGCGCCATTTCTCCGATTAGCCAAAACCTACTTTTTAAAAACGACGCCGATTATCTCATCACATGATTCAAATTTTTCTTTTATGTCCTTCTCTGTCACATCGGTGGAAAGGTTCTTTACGTAAACGACATTGGCTATGCTAAAATTTAAACTCATGTTAGAAGCTGCGTTTCACAATTTGTCATTCGGTTTGTTTTTTTTTTGGGGTGGGGGGCTGCTCTTTCTAAAGGGAACAGACGCGAAAATGGGCATATATGTATGCACGCGTGGACGTAAATAAGTATGGTGTATGAAGTAGGCACGTATGTTATACTTATATATGTAAAACCTCTGCGCGGTTTCAACTGCGACCCATACCGTACATATGAAGCGGTGAAGCAGCGGCTAGGACGTGTTTCCACTACAAGGAGCTAATCAACAGGATGGGGACGGTACAAACTGAATGAACATATTTCCCCCGTTTTTTTTACATTTTTAAAATTTCGCAGATATTTTCTGTGTACCGCGTTGATGAGCAGGTAGGGGTGGCATTTATTTATTTTTTTTTTTTTTCCAAACAGATGGATTCAATTTTTTGTGCGTAAATTTATATGTAGGCTAATAATATGTTGGCTATATATGCATGTTAGCTAAAAGGAGAAAAAAAAAAAAAAAAAAAAAAACGGAAAAGATAATTTTTTTTATTTTTTTTTCTACAATATGCTTAGCACAACAAAGAGAAGTGTATTAAAAAAATTTGAATCCATATATGCGTATAACAGGGGATGGAAAAATAAAACTGTACCTATAAATAAGGTCCCATTTCAAAAACCCTGCAATTCGTTAACAGGAGGCTGATCGTGAATTAATTTCCTTTTATGTAGAGCGTTAGACCCGCGTCCAACGAATTGTGCGAATAGAAAAATTGTAACGCAAAAGGGGGTGGAGGAATACAATTTTGTACAGGCACACAGCCTGAGGACAGCGACCCCCCAACTATGATTCCTTCGAGCATGTGAGTGGGTACGGAAGGATAGGAGGTCAAACATTTTGACCAAGTGTTCCATCATTTTAAAAACAGTTTGGAGAGTTGTCCCAAAGAAAAAGTGAGTCGTGCACTTCGAACGGGAAGCAAAAACTGAATGGACAACTGGCGAAATGGCATGCATAATTGTTTAGCGCCTGTTCACTGCTAACCATGACAAGTACTCCCCTCACCTTGTATATGACCTCATACGATTGGCACATATATTTATGGGTGTCTTGCTCATTTGGACGAGGCATACTGATGTATGTCGACCAACTAGCAGTCTCTTTCGCCTGACGCGAATGAACAGTTTGGAAATATTCATTTGAGGGGGTCCATCGAAATGGAAGAGTCGCACATTGGTCAATTTGTGTAGAAAAGTATTGAGACAAATGGACGCCTGGGAATGGGGGTGGTTCCCTCGAATGTATAATGACACAAGCACATATTTGTTCCACCCCGGACGGGCTTCATCCCTAATGCAGTCATTCCATAATTGGGTTGAAAAATCTCCCCACGCGAGGCGCACTTTGCCAACTTGGGCAAAATTAACCACAAAGATACGAATAGGAGTACATGCGTAACCTACGGGCTTTCCCTCTGCAATACCTTTGACAAAAAAATAATATTAAAACGTATGCCATCATTCACGACAGATACCTGTCCACACTTTGCTTAACACTAAAAGTGGTATGGAGGAAAAAGTATTCTTTATTGACACACCCCACATTAGCAAAATAGCATCATCCGAAATGCATATAATGTTTTTTTTTTTTGTTTTTTTTACTTCCCTTTTGTACATTTTTATATAAAGGTCATAGGTAAAATAATGTTGGATCATTCCCCCACCCTGTGGAACAAAATTTTATGGAGGCTGCAAAGACATTGCATGTGGACATGAAGTCATTGTCTAATCGGTTACAACACGCTTGGTCAGTAATTGTCTGTCAAAATATGGGTAATGCCCCAAAAATCGAAAAATAACCACAGGTTTTCAATGTTCAGCAAAAAAAAAAAAAGAAAAAAATGATGCCAGTAGATGTATACAATTATTTTAAATAAGTTACACTTCTCCAATTTTTTATATATGCCTTTTTTTTTTTACGGATAAACAGTTCTGCCTTTTTTTTTTTTTTTTTTTTTCTTAATTTTACATGTGTTATAAAAAAAGGGGAGAAGAAAAAAAATTATGAACGGCAAGGTAAAAAAAAAAAAGAATTTGCTTATTTATAGCCACTCACGAATTGGGGGTGGGTTTTTATTGGGGGCGCCGATTTAGTCTGCCTTGTATTAATATTATTATGCTGCCATGGGTGGGCGATGGGTTGTAGAAAGGGAGACAATCTTAGGAGAACCTTTCAAATGAGAAGTTGACAAAAAAGCTAAGAAGGAAAAGCGACATGTGGAATAAAGAGTGCTTAAAATTTATAGCATCAGCAGAATTACCGTCCTGTTTTTTTTGCCTTTATTTATTTCGCCTGACTTGATGCCTCCGCCGCAAAGAAGAAGATCAGGGGAAAGGAAAAAATTTTTTCAGAAAAAAGGCAAATTTGCATTACGCGCAATTGTAGAAAAAAGCGCGCGCAGCACTCGCATGTATAATATTATATATTTTATACGCACTACTCCCATTACAAAAACACAACCCCGCCGGTGTTTTTTTTTCTATTTTTTTATCATCTGTTTTTAAAATCGTCAATATTTTGCATAACGTGCTGCGCGTAGCATTTTCGTGCATACCGAAAAATGATGCATAGACCACTGAATGAATTTTTTTGCCATGAAACGTTTTTTTTTTTTTTGTGGCACAGAAAAAAACAAACCAAAAAAAAAAAAAAATATTAAAATAAAAATACAAATACAAAACAAGCAACGAAAACCAAACAAAAACAAAATTAAATTAAAATAAAATAAAACAGAAGAAAACAAAACTGTTGGATTGTATACCCACAGCTGCTTTTCTTTCGCGCGGAGTACATACGTGTTATTTATATATACATATGTTTTCACGTAGAATTTAATTCCGCCCTTTTTTAATACAGATAAAAATTGTATTTTCCTTGCGTTTGCATTTGCTTTCGCATTTACACTTGCCTTTTCATTTTGTTCATTACCCCCCTGTGGTTTTGTACAATTTCCATTGGCCCCATTTTAGCTAATCAGTGTTTTTTTCCTTTTCAACTGGTTAGTGGAGGGTGCCTTCTGTTTGTCGCGTTTCACGTTTAGCATTTTACATTCCGCTTTCTGCGTTTCGTTTTTTTACGTCCCCATTTTTGCATTCCTTTTTTGCGTTCCCCCTTTTTACCGCTCACCCCACACGTTTCACCTTTGTCGTATGTTATATACTGCCAACCCTCCAGGACACATTTTTTTTTTTTTACCACCGTCCTTTTGTATACAAAGACGACTGTTGGCCGACTTTGTTCACATCTGTATAAGCGTTATATTTTTCCGTTGTCCATCCCGTCTGTTTTTTTTTTTTTTT